ACGACGTCGAGGGCGATCCCCACGATCACCTCCCTTTCCAGCCTGCTTGGACGGCCAGCAATGTAGCTCATAACACGTCTCTCTGAAGTGTCCCGGCTTTTGGCAGTGAAGTCAAAAAGGGCGGCCTTCTGGGGTGCGAGCATACTCCCCCTTTCCACCAGCCACGACGTTCTTCCCGGGGACTGCGGAGGGCTCACCTTGGCCTTGAAAAGCTGTTGCCTCAACACGCGGGCGAGAATCAGAAAGTCCCCTCTGTTGTTCTTCATTGGCGACCATGTTGTAAGCAAGTCCTAGGCTGGGAGTGGGCCGCATGGACAAGAGTTGAGTGCGGACGATGGAGAAACCATCGTCTAAGCCGAGGAGAAAATCGAGGAGTCGCATATCATCATGAGAGGCACGAGTTCGACGTTCAACGTCGCACTCGCACTTGCCGCAAGTGCACGTAGCCGGAGGGTCGAGAGTGAGCCAGTCGTCCCATAGTTTCTTGATCTTAGCATAGAAATTCGCCACACTGAGTTGCTCTTGACGTAGAGCCAGGATCTCGCGACGAAGCTTGTATCGGCGAGGGATATTGCCGGTGCTGAATCGCTCTTTCAACTCGTCCCAAATTTCCTTCGCGGTGAGACCCGTACCGATGCCGCTGCGGATATCACGGCTCATTGCCGTGCGAAGCCAGCCAACTACAGCAGCATTACAGCGAATCCATGCCTCGAGATGAAGGCCCTCGGCTGGACGTGGGGTGCCACCAGTGACGAACACTAGCTTGTTTTTCGCGAGCAGGGAGTTGGACATCTCAGCTGCCCACTCGCTGTAGTTGAGATCGGTGAGCACATCGCTCACAAACATAAGATTTGGATGATCAGATGGGTGAAGATGAAGTGGGGAGGCCGCGTCAATGACCTGGGGGGCAGAAGATCCATCTTTGCCATAAACCCCTTTGCCGTGGTCTCCTGTCTCACCGCCCGTCATGATGTAACGAACCGGGGAGAAGCCCTAGAGTGCACAAGTAACGAAAACTAACCCAAGAACAAGGTCAGCTCTGATACCATAATAAAATCGATATGCGGAAATATAAAACGTAACATGGGACACTCGATTTACGTGGTTTCCCCGTTCTAGATGAACGAGACTATTCCACGGAGAGACAGAGCTCTCAGTCCTTTCATTAGATTGGTTTGATGATTACAGAAGATGATGTTCGGCCGTCAACATTAACCTGGCCTTTTATATGTGACAATGAGATGAATTATATGACTAACCCTAATTCCCTGCTGGACTAACACGAGAAAGAGAGGGAAACCGGGTCATGACGTGCGCATTGGCCGGGTTGGTTGAGGAACCACCAACTCGATGAACCGGCCAATCCGCAATATTATAGGTATAATATGTCTCTCTACTATGCAGTTTTATCAAACATGCCTTTATATTACTTTTTACATCAAACATGCTCTTATATTTTGAAAAAATTCTCAAACATGCCCTTATATTAAAATTTTCATTAAAAAATGGTCAACCACGGTTGAACCGAGATTCGCACGACCCAACATCGAAAAAATTGGGGGTGAAATATCAGCTTTTCTTCTTCGTTTATTTCTCCAGGTCTTTTTACAGTGAAATTATTAGAGGTATTTGGCTGTACAAAAGAAACAAAACAATTCTAAAGTGAAATTGTTAAAAATATTTTAGCCGTAGGTATCGCCCAAACCAAGGTTCGGCCATGGTTGATGGTTTTTTAATGCAAATTTTAACATATGGGCATGTTTGATCATTTTTACAAAGTATAGGGCATGTTTGATGTAAAAAATAGTAGAGTGGCATGTTTGATAAAACTACATAGTAAAGGGGCATATTATACCTATAACCCTTCGAATAATTAAATTTATTTTATTTTTGAATTACCACGTCACTTATTTAATGGTCAATTTGCAGAGTTGACTGCCACGTCAGACAAAGTTAACAGAGACTTACGGAGAGTGACTAAACTTGAACTGGTGTACTAATTTAAGTGACTACCGATGAAATAAATTAATTTTAGTTGCAAACGTGAACTTTTTAAGTAATTTCCGTTACCAAACTTGCAATTTACCCCACAGCTATTTATAGGATTAAAGTTTCCGTCTCTTTATTGTTCTTGTATTCCAATCCTACAACCAAAGTTAGAAAACACTCTTCCACAAGGACTACAAATAAATAAACAATCAAAGGATAGGCAATCGCCTTCTTGCAAGGTTGTCAACCCGGACCCGGTCGAGCTAGTGGGTTATGGGTTAATGGGTCACCCATTTTAGCTCGGGTTAGGCCAGTTTTGCCCGAAAATGTTATAATTTCATATATAAATTTATTATTATATATCAAATTTCAAATAAATTGTAACATATAACATTAAACCAAAATAATAGTTCGTACAAAAATTTAACCTATAATAAAAATTCAAACGGACTTAAATATACCATATCATATGATATCATTATATATATGATATTCGTATTCAAATGTAAAATTTTGAATAATTAACTCACTGATATAAACTAGCAAAATAAAATAATTTATTAATTAAACAACCCAAGAAAAGAGGGAGTTGGAAAGCCACTTAATCGTCAAAGCCAAAATTAATGAAGTAGAATTATAAAAAAAATATCAAATTTGATTAAGTAATAAGTAGAGAACAATAATTAAATGATAAAATTTAACCCTCAAAAGCATTGCATCCATCTGTTAGTATTTATTTATAAATTGGGTGGGATAACTCCACTTTCACGTGGACCAAGAATGAAAAGCACTATCATATACAAATTTGGGAACCGCTGCAGGGGGTTGACCCGCCCGGGTTTGCTGAGTGTTGACCGGGTTAAAACGAGTTTGACCATTCCGAGTCATTTGTTAAATGAGTGTATGTGGTCCGTTTTTGTTACCGGATCCGGGTCAATCTGAATCAACCAGTGGGTCGACTCAAGGGTTGACAACCTTGCTTTCTTGAGATCAAAGGTAAAACCTCAGGTTTTTAGCGCCGTCTCTTCTCTCCGAAACTCTCCCAGCTCGAGAGACTATTGATTTTCCAGTGAACATAGAATTTGAACCATTGTTGTCAAAACGGAAGGAAAACTGGTCGTCCGGGTACAGACCGGTTTGACCGGTTAACCGGGAGAACCACCTAGCTCGAACCGGCGGTTTTAGAGTCATCGCATGTGTTTTTCAGTCTTTGCTTCACGGCGGAGCGGAGCTTCTTGCTTGCGAGGGAGTAGCTGAAACAGGCGATGGCGACGCAGATGAAGCTTCCGATGACCTCCCGCGAAGACTAGGCCGACCATTACCACGGCGAGGATCCAGATCTCTCTGGCTACATGCACTGAGATTTCATCTCTTCTACTTACTGATTTGGTTGTTTGCTAGCGAGATGAGGTTGGGGATAAAAAAAATGGTGGATTTCAATGGAGATCATTGGACAAGAATGGCGATTGGCATGGTGATGTAGAAGTAGAAGGGGAGGTAAAGAGAAGCGTTTTCCAAAGGGAGGAGAGGAAGAGAATGAAAGAAGAAGATGAGAGAGAATGAATGGAAGAAAAGCAATAGATAGAGAGAAACGTGTAGGTTTTTCTTTTGTGTGTTCACCCTTCCCATCATAATTTTTTAAAATAATTTCCTCAATTATCATTCCTATTTTTCTAAAAATTATATTAAAACATGTTAATATTATGAACTATGATGTTATATTATTATTATCAACTATTATATTTTTATTATGTTCTCGGTCTTGTAAACGGTTTTTACCGGTTAATTTTCGGTTAGTCAATAAACCGTGAACCTCTCTCTAATCCGGATCGATGATCGGTCCGGTTTTGACAGCACCGATTTGAACCATTAGTTCCAGTGAGCATGAATCATTGATGATTGCGCTTGATTCGGAGTGAATGGAAGTGGATGGGGCGTTAAATGTTAGGATATTCACCTGATAATTTTTTTTTGGTAAGATTGTTTTTTTTTTGGTAAGATATTCACCTGATAATTAAGGGGTAATTAGCATAAAAGGTCACAAACCTATTTACTTTGTACAAAACGGTCATAATCTTTCATTTTGCACGTTTCGGTAATATACATTTGAGAGAATAACGAAATGGTCATTCCGTCCATCTCCATCCACAAAACCGTTAGTTTTGTTTAGTCAGCATGCCACGTCACTTAAAATATTAATAAAAAATTAATAACCAAAACCCAAATTCTATACGCACCAGAAATCTTGGAGACAGAAATAATTTTTTTCGTGTTCCTCTCGGCCGATTAATTCAGCTCCCAAAATCGCGAGAAAACTCTCGTCGCCGGCCGCTGATCATTTCTCCTGGTCGCGGCTTATAGCAAATGCCCCAATTGTAGAGATAAGGCGGGGGGCTTCTGGTCAGAGGGCTTTTGTATTTTCTCACGAGTAACTAAACATGGTGGCGGAAATTTTTAAAACAAAAATGGCAAGTCAAGATTTGCCAGCTATTTCACAGTAAGGGGAAGAACCTTTGTCCCCTCTGGTTTGTAGAAATCCAATGTTGAGACAAAAAAATGGGAATTGGCGACGGAACAGAGCTAATTGCCGGCGGGAATTTATATATTCCATCGCAGACCCGCGATTCCCCGGCGGGTATCGAGTTAGGGTTTTCTGTTGGGCTGGCCGGTTAAATTGGATTGGTCATTAATTTTTTATTAATATTTTAAGTGATGTGGCGTGCTGACCTAACGAAACTAACGGTTTTGTGGATGGAGATTGACGGAATGACCTTTTCGTTATTCTTTCAAAGATATGTTACTGAAACGTGCAAAATGAAAGGTTTGTTACCGTTTTGTACAAAGTAAATAGGTTTGTGACCTTTTATGCTAATTACCCGATAATTAAGTAAACGGTAAATGCATGGGTTTTTTATTTTATTTTATTGACTTTTATTTATGAGTATTTTTTTATTTTATAAGTATGTTATGAGTAGTTATACATTCCTGATAAGCGTACAAATACATAGTTTTCAACAACTGACAAACTTATACTTCACCAAAATACTACTATTAGCAATTCCACTACCATTTGTATCGAGTTGGCTGAAACTTTTGAAATCCAATTCAAGTCCTTGCTTGTTATGTTCGTGAGCAACACGAACCTTCACCTGATTTGGAATCCCTCCAACGCCAACATTCGTGGTGACCTATACATGCATACCACCCGGTGCTTATTATGCATGATTAGTTCACAAAACCCATGTGTAAAGGAGAAACCATCAGATTGAAAATGCATGTATAGCAAGTTTTACAAATTACCTCCAAGCATCGTCCACAACGGGTAGCAGTAACGTTGTTTTGAGTCCGCGGAGCTCCTAAAGCCGCAAAAGGATACTTGTGACGCGAAACTAGAGACAGGCGGGCGAGAGAAGTTGCACACGATAACGGTGACGCCGAAGACGAGGAAGATGAAGAAGGAGAAGCGTAGGCCGGCGCCACTTTGCCAAGACCATCATCATCATTCTCATCGGTACCATTCAAATAGTGGTTATTCCGCGTAGCATTGGCAAGATGTGCGACTCCAACTCCTTCAAAGTTACGAGTTTGTGAATCAGCAGTAGGAGGATTCACAATCACAAAGTGACATTGGTAGGAGCAATCAGGACGGTTACAGTACTCGGCAGTGTCACCGCAGTAGTAACTGGTACTACAACAGCGTCCCGTGTCGCAGTATGCCCATGTGCCGTCGGAGTATTTGCCGCACCTGTGGTTGGACGGCTCACTTGTGGATGGAGATGGTCCCAGTATCAGCACATAGGCAGCCACAATCGCGACCAACATCCTGATCACCACATCGATCGTAGTCATATCGATACGATAGCACGAGTATTTTTCGTTGCACTGGATGGTGTATGTTTAGAATCTGTGTTGCTCGCTGCTCGTATCATACCTGCTTATATATACACAGAGATGGATAGATTTAGGTCTATGTACATACGTAGGTTCCTATGAGCTATGTATTTTAATAAATTTGCAAAGGCATATATAGATTGTTTGTTTGCGCAATTGGCCGCATGGTACCTATGAGAAAGATAGATAATAGTGCGTCTATCTTGTTTGCACATGTTGAATTGGGGAATCGGCCGGTCATTTGTGGGTTCAAGCACTAGTGCACGAGGTAACTCCTAGTTTGATTTGATGCGTCTCTCTCCCTTTTAGTATTTCGCCAATATAATAATTTGTTTTAGGAAATTAACCTCAAGATGATCGAAGTTTGAGACTTTTATTTCAATTTGGTCTAGAGGTGTTTATTGGAAGTAAATATGACTCTTTCTCATGTTTTTTTTTTTTAAATACTTACTGAAAATTTAAGAATATCGCTTAAATACCCAAAAAAATTTAGTGATGATTATACTCGAAGTAGAGGTGGCAATTAGTATCCGAATCCATGAATCCAATCCAATCCATCCACCAAATTATCCACCTAATCCAATCCATTTAAATCCAATCCATTTTATCCAAATCCAATTGGATTGGTGGATTTATGGATCAATCCATGAATCCAAATGACAAGTTACGATTTGGTACCTATATTTTTTATATTTTACATTTTGGTACCTAAAATTTATATTTGTATACGAAAAATAACGTTGGAAAATTACATTTTGGTACCTAAAATTTTTCATCATGACATTTTAGTACCTAAACTTTTCAAAAATTATATTTTGGTCCAAGCCTTGGATTTCATTTGGATTCATGGATTGGTGGTCCATGAATCCACCAATCCATTGGATCCAATCCATTTGATCCATTAATCCACCAATCCAATCCACGAATCCGATCCAATTGCCACCTCTAACTTGATGGACCACCAAACTGCTAAACCAAAACCTGAAAATGACGATATTTAGGCCTCAAATCCCCTGCAATTAGCAAAAATTATGTTTGTATGACGAATGTCATATTTCCCCATAACATAATCAATGTAAATGCGTATTCTTTTAGATAAAGGTAATTAATTAAGTAGTCTATATATGTACATCTTTCTACCTTATATTCAAATGAGCCTTTCGTATTGTAATGGGTTAACTTTCTGCATCTGCAGACTGCAGCTATTCCACCCCCGGATCATATTTCTCATCCATCGGTGATGTTGAAAGAAAGAAGAGGCGTAGGAATTAACCCATTCTTTAAAAAAATCAATAATAATAAAATTTATCGAACGGACACCAAGGTGTGGCGAACACAAATGTTATAAAAATTTATAGTCGAGTGTGACACAACTCGGATACACTAAAAGGAAATCTAGCTATAATGGCAGAGTATATATGCCTCTATAAGTAATTTATTCGCCTCTATATCGTATTAGCGACACATAATTATGTGATACCAATACTGCTGCGCTAATTCTCTATTGAGGCACATACGCTACTTATAAATATAATGGCAAAATAAAATTTGTTACTAATTAAGGAATTGGAGGCATATATTTTAGTTGCTAATTTCACTTTTTAAAGTTTATTTTTATTTAAAATTTCATTTTAAAGTGATAAGTATTCGCCACTAATGTTACTATTAGAGATAGATATTTTTGCGTGAAATAGTATATTTAGGCAATTATTATATTTCTTTTAAATAATTATGAATTTCATATAAAAATTAATTAATTCCTTTTATATAATTATTATATATTAGTATCGGATGCTATTTTTATAGCTAATCTAATCCCTTTTTGAGCAACTAGGTAAGTCTCTGTCCCATTGGAATATTTGGTAGTTATGATTTTGGATTTTACAGCCAATTATCTCCTTCATACCACTTTAGTAAGTGAAACAAATATTTCTTTCTTCTCCTTTTCTATTTTTCAAATATTCTACAGGAATTGCCGGTTTATGTCCACGGTGGAGTGGGAGTGTCGGCGATGAATAAATCGAACTTCAAGCTTATCGGATTCATCGGATCTAATACCAAACCACTGCCTCCATAAATCAAAGAAAGTAGTACATGTTAATTAATGAAATAAAAAATAATACACTGGACGAAGAAAATAATATATCAATCAAAATCTAGAAGAAGCAAGTGAAACGAACCTAAATCAACCTTTGAATCCGCCTTCACATCTGAAACAATATCAGAATATGTTTCCAGAAATCCAACTATGGCCGATGGTAATGGAAGAAGCGGCCTACCGTGATCATGATTCGTAACTGGGATGGCCACAAAAATTGAGGATGGGAGGGAAACTATTGACAGAAGCAGGCGACAACGACTTGATGAAAACGGGAGTTTGCACTGATGAAGGACGAGAAGACCCAACAGGAGTTCGTGGGTTTTTTACTTTTTTTACCTTTTATATAGTAGAACTGTAGGAGAACAGAGCGGCGAGTTAAATGTTGGTTTATTGGAGATTTTAAAAAAAGAGTTGAGAAATTTAACCATTAACATTTCTTTCTGCCAACCAGTTGTTGATTTATATATTATTTAATATATTTATCATTTATTTTGAAGTGGGAAGGATATAAGCTTTATTTTAGCGAAAAGTAAAAATTAGAACGAATTAATTAGGAATCTATTAGTAGTTTCAATTTATTTTTGTGTCTAAAATTAAATGAATTTTACAATCGGAGGCTATTATGAATGTTGCATGTGATCATAATCCCAAGCTCTTTTTTATTTTTATTTTTTTGCTGCAAAAGGTTTGTCATTATAAATGATTTCAGTGCTTTGCAAGTATCCCAAGCTACCAAGTGGAACTTCTTTTCCTGACTCACTCCTGACCAAATGAACTACGTTTGGATTCTTTCCAACTTTGAGATAACGCTCATTGGGGCTTTGAACAACGAGCAAAGGTACAGGGGCTGGCTTGCTAATACGGTGTTGCACAAGGTAATTCTTCCTCCCAACGAAAAGTACTTGCCCTGCCATCAATCAAGTTTTTTCTGAGTGTTCAAGATAACTGAATCCCAAATTGATGTCGAATTGGGATTGGCGCCCAAAGGAAGCTCTAAGTAGACAGTGTGGAGAAATTTCCACTCACACCCAATTATCCCAGCAAGTCGCTCAATTTTATCCACCTCACCCACCGGGTAACACTCTTGTCAATAGTCATGCAATAAAATAAAATAGTCTTGCAATAGTCTCTAATAATATGCAATTTTTATTGAAATCAAGGAAGAAGGAAGTGTTGAGTTTGGCTAAGAGCATAAACAACTTCAAGGTATCTACTTTGGACGCTTACTCGTTCATATTTGGGGCCATTCGAGGGAAGCTGGGAGTTGGAGGTGAGTATAAAAGTCTTGCTAAACCTTGCAGCCAGTGAAGAAAGTGAAGACGGGAGCTTTGCTTAAAATTATGGTTAACAGAGTTCGAGTTTGCAAACTATGGAGCCAAAGCTTGAAGACAGTGAAGATGCAAACTATGGAGCCATACCTTGAATACACCATGAAACAGCTTGCAGCACAGATGGGAGCTTTGTTACAAACCATGGATGAACAGAGTTCGAGTTTGAGTTTGAGTTTGAGTTCTTCGCTGCAACATAGTTTGAGTTATAAGGAAGTCGACGTTGAGCCAGAGGACGAGTTGAAGGATGCCACCGCTTCTTGCGAGTTCCTTGAAGGCAACATAGTGGTTTTTCAATAGTAGGCACTCCAGACCAAAAGAAACTCGAAGGTATTGACTCATTGTCCAACTGTCTAGAACCTTAGAAGGAATATAGAGATTTCTAAGAGATGGTCACACTACAACAATCAGCACTTTCAGCGACGAAAAATTTCGTCGCTAAAAGTAGATAATTCGTCGCTGTATGTTTTCTGCGACGAACAAGAGCGTCGCCTAAGAGAGTGTCCTATCGTCGCATATACCGCGTCGCCCTAAGGGTATAGCGACGAAATTATTGCTGTCGTCGCTAAAACATGTGTTCGTCGCAAAACGTATTCAAAATAGCGACGATTGAATTTGTCGCTAAATAAATTATTTGCGACGACAGTTTCGTCACGAAAGAGTGGATAGAGGCGACACCTCTGTCGTCGCAAATGGGGTGATTAGGCGACGATGGTTTCGTCGCCAACTATTTTTCAGCGACGCTTTCCTTCGTCGCTATTGATATTTATAGCGACGAAATGTTCGTCGCACTAGAGAAGACTCTTCAACGACGAACTATTCCGTCGCAAAACATCTATTGTTGCATGATGTGTGCCGTTTCAGCGACGACTACGACGTCGCAAAATTCACTTTTAGCGACGAAAGTTAGCCTTTTGGCGACGGAATAGCACCCTGATTGTTTTCTGCTGTATTTTTCCACTGAATTAAGCTGCTGATAATGGACATTCTATATACAAAAAGAATCACTTATAATATATATATAATCTCAATAATCTCCTTACATAGTATCATACATGAGATTAAACATCCTGTGAGTATTCCAAAATAAGCTCTATGTCTAGAACTATGCAGTACATGTTAGCACTACCCATCTATGCTCAAAAGTGTCACGATATATATGCGCAACCATGCCAAAATATATGCCACGCATTTGATCTTCCTGCACAAGAAAATCAATCAATGACAATATTGAATTTAGTATGATATTTTGATTGACTATGGAAATAATTCATATCCATATATAAGATACATTTGGTCTTACCTAAGTTCCTAAATCAACTAAACGTTCTTCCCAACACATACAATGTGCCCAAAATACTTCCCATCAGAATAGTATTCTACATTAAAGATCAAACAAGAAAAACACAAGTTACCACACATACAAAAAGACAAGTAAAGCATCCGAAAGAAAAGTACAAGTTACCAAACAAATAAAAGCAAGTTACCATACATAAAGAAAGGAAAGACCTTTCTTTTTCACTCATCTTCATTTCCACAAAAAAAAATTACTCAACAATCGAAAGAACTAACCAAGCAGCAACACAAGCAAGGCAAAAAAGCATCTAAAATGTATGAAAAAAGAGTCTTACCAGAGGTCTAGGCCCGGGAGGAGATTACTCTTCATAAGGTAATCAGCAATCTTCTCCAACTTTGCTATTTTTTGATCTGACACTACCTGTTTCTCATCTGCCTCAGCTAACTTTTGATTAGCCACCGCTACCCTTTCGTTCAATAGACTCACATTATCCTCAAGATTCAGACACCTTTCTTGCAACTCGTTCTTGTCTGCTTTTAGTTGCTCGTTATCCTTTAGTACTTGTGCATAATTATATTCCCCACGAAGTCTTTTTAGAGTGTGATTGGCGACGAACAAGAACCGAATGGCTCCCATAATCTGCATATAAGCTTCATCTTCAGATATTGGATTGTCACTCTCTCGAGTGCTTTCCACAAGTCCATGCATCTTGTCCTACACAAAATATGTGAGATGAGTATCATATATCATTGAAACAGAACAAGCTTATTCTCTTTAAAATAGCCAAACACCAAACTTAACTTTTATATAGACTAGCAGCCATCATCTAGAAATGCAGCCTAGTTACCTTAGCTTTTTGAGCTTATTACTCACTTTTTCTCCAAGCTTTAAGCTTATTACTTCCAAATAAACGGAAAATTTCTAGAAATGCAGCCAAACACCACACTTCTTAAAATGGCAGAGCATAATATATACACAAACATGCAAGTAAGGATACATAGATTTAAGTGATTAGAAAAACTTACATATAGTTCTTTCTTAGCTAAGATCATACAATAATTATATGCAAGCCCTACAACCGTGACTCACTAAAGTCATCACACACATCACAAAACCCACACTAAAGCAAGCAAAGTAAGTTCAGTTTCCTCTTCTTTCTCTTTTCAAATCTAAATAAGTACATAAGAATACAAATAATGTAGCTCAATCTCCTCCATAGACCAACATGCCTCCACTTGACCAACACTTAACTTATGTATAGTATTAGCAAGTTTTAGGTTCTAAAAAGCATCAGCTCCTTTGGTACCTTGCAGAAGTACCAAGGCGGTGTAAGGTTGTACCTGTTGTAGTAGCAAAACTTGGTATAGGTTGAATTCGGCTTGGACAATTCAAATCTTAAAACTCTTGCGGTCTTACTTTCCTCTCTAAGCTCCTAGCACCTCCTCCTCTTGATGACGGTTGGTATTATAACTCCTGACTTATAAAAAGTAATATTGGTTCTTGTAACAACTACTACCCCTTCTAATGACTTCACCACTATCTCCTCTGCAAGTATGATGAAATTACATAAGTACTAAATAATCTCCTCAAAGCAAATAGAACCCCTCCCCATCCCATATGCGTCTGGAAAAAAAGCTTCTGCCCCTTTTGCATTTAGAGCAAGGAGCGACAACCTCTAGTTGTAAAAAACCAGAAGAAACAAACAGGAGCAGGGGCATTTACATTCTTTCTTTCTTTCTCCTCTACACATCACACAGTTGTCTCTTTCTTCAAGAATAAAATTAATATGCATTCTATTGGACAAAATTAGGAATTGGCCATATATGCAACTTATCTCATGATCGACACATAACACAATTAATAATCTGAAAATAGTGTGAAAGAGAGAGGAAGGCGTACCCGCACGAGTCGACACCTGCCATAATATTCATCAGGGCACAATTCAGTCCAAGTCTTCATCCTTTTCGAAAATTAAAGGGAAGTTAGTGTGATAGCCTGGGAGAGGGAAGGAGGGAGTAGTAGTAGGCTGATGATGAAGAAGGAAGTAACATACCTTGAGTCTGAGCGAGCATCGGGAGAGGGCAGAGAGAGACCGGCGAACAAGGAGGGAGATTTGCTTAGTGCCGATGAGTCAATCAGGTGGAAAAATCATCACTAACAGCAACAAATTGCAAGACGACAACTGAAATAGGGAACAGAGGATTCGGATTGGGAGATTGCGAGTTGGCTAGGGTTTTAGGAGCAACGAGCTATCACCTGAAATGGAAGACGACGAGTGACCGAGAGCTATCAATCAAGAAACCATCTTCTCGCCTTCGAGAACAAAGCTCAAGACAAGACTGAAATCATGAACAAGGGTGCTGGATTTCGAAATCGGGACTCGGTTGTGGCTTCAGAAATGGCGACCTGGAGATGGAGGCTTGGAGGTCTCGATTGGAATGGGGGAGAAGATAATGAACGAAGTGTGGGGGGAATTAAGTGGTTTGGTTGTTGAATACCAAAACACGTCGTTTGATGTTAAATCCGGCCAGAACGATTTTGGGCCCAAATACGTTTCGAAATAAGCCCAAAACCTGAAAACACAGTGTCAAAGTTTCGACGCACGAAACGGATCATTAAAGAACCTAAAACGACGTCGTTTTCTATCCTTCTTCCGCGACGAATTCTTTGGCGCAACGTGGCATCCTTTTCAGCGATGAAAACTAATCGTCGCTAAAGCCCAAACAACTCTTGCGACGGTAATACTTCGTCGCTGAATATCTCTTACCCTTCTGCGACGAAGTTGCCTATCAATTTTCGTCGCCCAAACGTCATCACCCTTCTGCGACGACAAAAGCAATAAAATATCGTCGCCATAGGTATTGCATCGACCTCAATCTAAGTCGATTCCTTTTTGCGACGAACTTTTACATTTCGTCGCTGAAACCTTATCTTTTGCGACGAAATATCATTTCGTCGCCAACATTTCGTCGCTAAAAGTCAATTTTTTTGTAGTGTCATGGTGGAAAAGGAGCAGATGGTTCACGTTGATCCTTGTTACGACTATGTTGAGGATGATTTCTTTTGTAGAAGCCTACAAGCTTTGATGGCAAAACTTTTCCAATGGCGAGGGAATAATCTAAGTACGCTAGCCCTCGAGAGAGTCAATTTCCAAGCATTCCAAGTAGTGTTGAAATCGAGGAAGAAGGAAGTGCTGAGTTTGGCTAAGAGCAAAAACAGCTTCAAGGTACCTAGTTTGGATGCTTACTCATTCATATTGAGGGACATTCGAGGGAATCTGGGAGTTGGAGGTGAGAATATAATTCTTGCTGAAGATCGTAAAGGCGTTGAGTGATAAGATTGAAGTTTCATAGACACCAAACGAGCAGCCTGAAGATCGTATGGTGACGAAGACAAATCCACTGGTTGAAGATGAAATTCTCCTTCTGCAGATTTGGAGGGGCACCCCTGGAATTTAAACATGGGGTTTTCCCCGAGGTCAGAAGTTTTTTCCCACCCGAGGATTTGAAGACCCGACCCGGCAAATGGGGGCTGACAAGTTTAGTTACCTATTTGTGTTAGGATTCTTTTCATTTTCTAGTATTTTCATTTCCTTGTTAATAGAATTAGGCTTTTGTTTTCTATTTAAAGGGATGTCAACCGAGTGTAGAGACTTAGACGTTCATTAATTGAAAAGCTTTTTTTGTTCATTGGTGGACTCCAATCGCGTTAAGTGTGTCTCTACATCAATCAAACATCCATCTTGATATGTGGTCGAATTTCTACCTTTATATTTATAGAGTCTTCTCCCATATGTGAGATTGCACTTCAATTCTGCCTTATCCTAATCTGTTATTCCTATTTTTAGTTGCGTGACTTTGATAATTACAGGTGTCGATAGTATCAAATCACTTTCTTTTATTTCTTTCATAGTAAAGTATATCATTACCTCGAGGAAATTGACTAAACCCCTTTGGCTTAGTGATAGCCACTCTCATCATTGCCATCACTTTATGGCTGATAAAAAGGCCAATCTCGTCACCTTTTCACAATAGGTAGCCACGTGGCAGTAACTTCTTACTCAACTAGTTGAATCATTTACACCTCGCAATTGGGTTCAAATTCTAGTATTTAAATATTGATCCTCATTGAGATATTATCTATCCTCGTATTCAAAATAAAAAATCAAATGTAAAAATAGAAGACATTAATAGGGCCTTTTGCACCACGAGATTGAATAGTTTGAATTACAGCCTGACGTACACAATTAAATCGTATGAAAAGAGGGAAAAGAAAATAGGCATACGTACACTAAACCTTCTCAAGTGTGGTGCTCACGCTGATGATTCAATATAATTGATCGACCACCACGTACGTGTTGTGTTATTAGTTGAAGTTCATCAACATCATGATAATGACATTATTATGTAGGTACAAGCATAAATTTCATTAATCACAACAATCCGTACGAATACAAAATAATAATAATAATGACCACAATATGTAGAGAAATATAATGAACATCAAATAGTTCAAACATATTAATATATATATAGATAAATATACATGTAGACTAAACTCATAATGAGACGATTCAAATGATCATTGGAGTAACGAGCAAAGAGGTGATGACGTCCTTGGTGTCTTTGGTGGAGTGTGTGTAGCCATCAGAATCCTTGTACAACACCTCCATTACACGTGCGAGACCCAGAAACACCGACATAACTTCTTTCATCGGTCCGAACTCGGAGAAACTGGTCGCTGCTGATGACGGTGGTTTGATAATTAGCAGTTCCTTGTTGATCTTCTTCCAGTCCTCTTGGATCATTTCGTTGATGGCGTCACGTGCCTCCGCATTCCCCACTTCAAATTGCTTCACATAACACTCAACCGACGATGCAACATGCTTCCTCTCTTGCTCAAACTGCAAACATGCACGTACACAAATCAATCGATACTTTCTGTGCTCAACACATACATCTATGTGCATATATATATATATGAGTGTAGCTAGCTAGGCTACCTCATGGAACACAACATCATCCATGAGACGGCACAGATCGGAGGAAGCGACGAGAATGGCGGGATCGGCAAGCAGCCACTCGAAGACCTCTCTGGGGGATTTATTATCTTCAGCCATTCCGCACAGCGCTGCAACTGCAAGCAGAGGGTAGCCGCAGGAGTAGACGCCCACCCGCCTGTATTCCTCCACGCTCGGCACCACCTTCCGCGCCAACCATCTGGCTTCACTCAGATACGCCTTGGCTTGCTTCTTCACCGCCAGTTTTAGATACTCCACGCAGTAACCCCTTCCCTCCTTCGATATGTAGTTGCCAACAGGCGTATAGTCAAGATACGGAACCCATATGTAGGGTTGGGCATGCGGGCGGATCATCCGCGGGTTTGGGCCGACCCACCCGCATTTTACCCGAATTTTGTTAAGTGGGTGGGTCTATGGGTGGTGACGGGTTGCGCTAGGAGCCATCCGCCGGGTGGTGGGTGGGTGCGCGGGTGACCCGCTCAACCCAACAGCAAAAAGATCAAAGACATCGACGCTAGAGAGGGGAGAGTGGAGACGTTAGACATAAACTAGGACTGCTCCTGGAGTTCGAACTTCAAAGTCAACCTTCCAAATAGCGATCCCCTCTTCTTCCCTTTATTTTTTCCTCTAATTCTTTTGCCTAGATCACTACTCTTTCCTTTGTGGAATTATTTTTCTTAGCTCCTTGCACCTGGTAATCATCTCAATCTGTAGAAAAATATTAAGAACTAATTCAACATTTTTCGCCCTATTTCATCTTCTTGTTTCTCCAGATAACTCTCTTCGCCTGTTATCATGTCAAGTTTACTCCTTTATAAGTTTATATTATATACATTGTGATGTGGGTGAACCCACAAACCCACCCAAATCATCCACCATCCGCCCGACCCAACCCGAGACTAAATGTGGGTGGGTGGTGGGTTAAAAATTATCAATCCGTGTAAGCGCGGGTAGGTGCATTTATGATCAAAATCCACCCGACCCACCCAATGCTCACCCCTACCCATATGTGCAAACTCACGTACATAAATATCTGGCAAATACCCATTAATATAAATATAATGGTATTGGTACGAATTGCCGGCCACCACCAAAACCCAACGCTGCGCAGCAGCACAGCAGTACTTAAACACTATGTTTTTTAAGAAGAGAAAAGGAGGGAAAGGAAAAATGGGAAAGGAAAGTGAGCTTCCCAATGCATTTTCCCTTGTTCTTTTGTGGAGGGAAAGTGGGGAAGAGAGGAAAACTTTCTCTTCTTGGTACTATTCAACCCTCACCTCCAAATTGGAGAGAAAGAAGAGGGAATGAAGGTTGAAGGACATACATGCATGTTTTTTTTTTTTTAATATTTGTCTAATAATTAAGTTCCCAACACAAAATAACATTAATTAGTAATTCAATTGCCAACTTCATTAATTGTTATACAAGATTATTAACTTTACCCACTCTCTCACATTCTTATTTGTTCGTACTTAATCTCCAAAACAAGATAAGTGATCCTTTTAATTACCAGCATGAATATAATCAAATTAGTCCCGGTGCCTTTTTAGCCTTCAGTTTGCTGCCTAACAAAATTAATTAGTAACAAAGAAGTAGCCAAACAAAAATAATCATTTTAGTAAAAGAATGAAGAGTTATTAAATCGTAGCATGTGTACGTAGTGTGACGTGTTATTTGTTTATGTTTTTAGTTGCTATGTCAATAAATCAACAAAATAGCAAACAAAATTTTTATATAGGTTGACACTATCAAATATTAACACACAATCACATTATTTCACTATTACATAACCAATAAAATAACATATTCATCACAATTTCCAATACACACTTTCCTTCCCACTTTCCTCCATAAAACAACATTTTCCTCCCAATTTCCTTCACCTCCAAATCTCCCCTCCCCTCCTAATTTTCCTTCACCTCCCCTCCTTTTCCTCCCTTCCTTCGGAAACATAGTGAAAGTGTGGCCAACTACGAGAACACAAAACGAGAGGTGGGGCCCTGGAGGACTAGAGTCTAGAAGTATAGTGACAATTCAAGGGGTGGTTTTCAAAAATTCAATTCGTGAATGACGTTTTTTTGTTTTTTTGGTGGGATTCGTGAATGACGATTAGTAGGGCATAGTAAAAATAAAATAATATCTATATCGCATATATTACAATATAATAAGCATTTTGTCCTTATAAAAAAGATAAAATAATTTTACATTATAAAATAATATAATCCAGTCACCCTTATAAAAAAAATATTATAATATAATAATCATTTGGTAAATAAACACGGATTCAAATTTTCTTTTCTCCTTTGTCAATCTTCCATGCCAGCATTGATTTTTTCACCTCCTATAAATAAGCATTACTTAGAATTGAACACGTACATGAACTACAAGCATTAAATTATTATAGTGAAAAGCCTCTAATGAATAAGACAATCTCTATTTGATGATAATAGTTGTAAAACTAATAAGATAAACTCCATCAATTTTATTAATTGCTATAAAAAATTGACACTACCAATACCATGTCACATTAAACTTTTATAGTATGTTACTTCTACTGCTTTTTTTTCCACTTAATCGATAAAATTAATATTAAATCAAATTTTATAGTGAATCTTTTGATATGGACATAAAAATATTATGATTACAAAAAGTTACAAGGACATGCATGCCTCAGGTGAATTCCGAGGTGGTCCACCATAGAGGTGTCAATTGGACAGGTTGGTTCGGGTTCGGATTGGGTCCAACCAGGTTGAGTTCAATCGGGTAACGAGTTCAATCGGGACGGTTTCAATTTGGATCCGGTTTAATTAGGTTGCAGGTCAATTGGGTTACGAGTCAATCAGGTCAATGGTCAATTGGGTTACGGATCAGGTCGGGTTACGGGTGCATCAAATTACGGGTTTATTGGATTGCAGGTTAATTCGGGTTCGGTCGGGTCGGATTATGGGTTATTCGGGTCAACCCATTGGATCATTTGCTTCTTGACAGAAAATAGTGTTTTACAAACTATCAATATATGAATATAAATTGTAGGTAATGATACAAAATTTAAGAAAATAATAATATGATAATATTTTACACATAAAAATTAAATATCCATTATGTTAGTATAAAACTAAATATAAATAAAATAGTGTATATAAAAGCTTTGTTGTTGGTTATAATTTTTTTGTTTATGGTGAGAGATTGTAACTTCACTTATTTTATTAATTTATAAGAAAATTGAATCAGTAAAAATTTGAAAATGAAGTAAAAAAGGTAGACTATATGCTTATACATCTTGAAATGAATCGTCTTAATTAAATATAGTATGAACTAGATGTATGTCTCTTTATTTCCAAGAAGACGTATGATCATCATTCCGAATCACCAACTTATATATCTTCACAATTTTTTATATATTCACGGTAACTTCTCATCCTAAAACTCATGGGTCGAACAACGGTTCGCTCAAATATAAATTATCATCTAGTTTGAATCGTCGATTTATTAATTTATAAAAAAAAAAGTCAGTAAAAAGTTGAGAATGAAGTAAAAAGGGTAAACTATCCACTTATATATCTTGATAGGGATCATTGATTTCATTGATTTTGGGGATTTCATTGATTTTCAAGAGTTGACTTTTGTAATATAGTTATGGGTGGAGGAGACACGAATTTGTGTCTAACTCTTCCTATAATCTTCAAAAATTTATCCTTTAAATTTCATAAAATAAAAAATGAATGAAACATATTATTATTTTAAAAATTAAATATTTAAGAAGAAACTTCAAATTATACCATCAATTCTACAAATAATTTTCAATTATTATGAGAACAACGGTTCTTTCTTGATAAATTTAAAAATATAATAATGTGTACATTGAATTTTGGTACAAGCATTCGGGTCAAATGGGTCGGGTTATTCGAGTTGGGTTCGGTTCGGTTACGGGTTATTTGGGTTATGAATCATTCGGGTTATAGATGGGTCGGGTTATGGGTTGGATCGGATAACGAGTTCATCGAGTTATGGGTTGATCGAATTACGGGCTAATTTGTTTCAGGTTACGGGCGGGCTTTGGGTGGTTGATTTTTTGTCAAATCGGGTTAAGGACGGGTGGTGGGTTGGGCGGGTTAGTCGGGTCGGGTTCAATTTTGAGAGCTCTAGTCCACCAGTAGCTGCAGACTCTTGGTTTATGCTACTCATGAAATGCTTCGGCCCTTCAAGTGTCAGGAATGTGATTATGACTTATCATGGGTGCTTTTGCTTTCTTTCTTTCTTTAATTTTAGGAACCACAAAAATGTTATCATCAACTCATCATGCATCTCCGGCTTTAAGCGTAAAAGATTCGGCTGACGAATCAAGTAGTTAGCTTAATTACTTGGTAAGAGGCTTGAGCTCATTCTGGTATAAATCCTGGACAACGTTGAAACACAGCTTGGCCAGCCGGAGAAGATTGGGATCATGGCTTCTATCTTGCTCATACATGGAGTGATGGAGATGAAGAAGAGCTGCTCCTGCTTCTCCACGCCTTTGCGCAGCGGCCGCTTCAGAGCAGGACTCACTCGTTCACCGGAATAGTTGAGCAAACAAGTTTTGGCGAACTCAATAGCTTCATCCAGTATGTTCTCCCCTGGCACGCCCAGATATGCAGCTTCGTACAACCCTAGGATACCTTCGATGTCACTCGACAGCTCGGACTTGAACTTGCCATCTTCATCCTTGAACTTGTTGAACACATCTGCCCAAATATCAATCGAGTGAAGTGAAACATATATGTCCAAGAGTGGCTAGCTAGTTTGTTGTACGTAGTAGGTACCGGATGGGACGTGGTATCCGTGCTGTCTCATCAGTCGAAAATAGAGCGAAACAGCGGAGAGATCACCGTCGTCACTAATATCGTAACTACGGGAAGAAGAAGAATGGTGGTGATAAATCAGCTGGATTTGGTGGTCGATTTCGGTCTGGTAAAGGTAGCCAAGGCCCAGCCTTTCTACGACGTCGATGAAAGTCTCTGCGAAGGCTTATCCGTCGCGGCTCTCAGCATCCTCTCCTCCACATCTCTTTTCAGCGCCGAAACTTGCACGTTCCAGCCGCTAACTACACTCTGCAAGAAGAAAGTATATATACAGGAGCCAGCTACGTATGGCAAGAACATGCAAATTCGTGATATTAGTATTGCATGTGTATATTATACCTGGCCGGGTTGGGAAAGTCTAGTGAGAAAGAAGTCACCCCAGACACTTGGATGGAACATTGGGACTGTTGCTGCTGCTGTTGCTGCTGCAGGTAACTGTTGGGCAGCCATTACTACTATATATCAATCGATGGTTCTGTTACTGTCTTTGAAGCTGTGTGGGTGATGATATCAATGTGTGTAGTAGTAGTGCTATATATTTATACACGCTGGAGTATAGGGTGGGTGGTCTGTTTTTGGTTAGAGGCTAACCGGCGGTTTTAACTGCTAACCGTCCGTTAGTCACTAACCGAAAACCGATTGGTTACTAGTTCTAGTCGGTGTTCAGCAAGGGTGAAGGGTTCTTCAGTTAGGCGAGTAAACCGGCTAAACTACCTCCAACAAAAAATGTAGAAAAGGAGGAGGAATTAGGAATAAGAGCGCTAAATCGGTAAATATAATTAATCTTCCCCCTCCCCCATCTGGTTCTCGACGAACCCTAAGTCTCAAAACGTTACTCGTCTGCCTCCGCGCTTCGCGCCTCCGTCCCAGACCAGTCGCTCGTCCGCCTCCACCTTCACGCTCGTCCGCCGCAGCCTCGTCCGGTCGCGCCGCATGCAGGCGAGCGCCTCCTCTCCCCACGCCTTTGTCGCCTCCGTCTCTGTCCAGTCGCGTCGTGCAGTCGTTCCTAGAGACCCAACAGAGCAGGTGAGCGCAGTGGCGGATCCAGGGGGTGGCCACCCCTGGCCACGGCCTAGCCCTCCTCTGGATCCGGAGCTAGTATAACCTATATGAGTTTATCGATTTAGCCATTCGACACAATTTTATTTTATAATAAGATTGTGTGTAATTAGGAAAATGAGTCAGATGAACATATTCAAATCACAACTCTAAATTTAGCCTGAAAATTCTAGCTCCAATGATTCTCGTCTGAAGAAAAACAAACAATGAAACCTAATTAAGATTCTAAAAGTCTAAAACGTAAAAGACAAAAAGAAATATATATTGATTACTATATTGATTTCTCTAGTGTTGACATTGCCCGTTTCAACAACTACTATTGAGAGAACCTTTTCAACAATGAAATAGGTGCAAAATTATTTGCGCAACAAAATGAGCGATGAATTTCTCGCCAATTGGTTAATTATTTTATCTTCAAGAGAGTATGATATTGGCTCTATTTTCAGAACCGGACCGGAGTCTGAACCGAAAAAGTTAGTGGTTTAGGGTTCAGTGGTTAAACGATATATAACATACAAGACTCGTGTATTACATTAATTTAAAAAAAATTTATCATTTATCATACACAATTTGAATTTCATATCATCACCCAAATATATGATAAATTATTCAAACCGTCTCTCAAAAGAAATCAAAAAAAATTCATTTCAAATTAAAAATTACGATGCCAGTCGGTAGTGGACTACTTAACGACGTGTAAAATTGCTATTGTAAAAAAACTTTGATTATTTATGGTATCTAATTTTCTAATGAAATGCGGCCCAGTGCTCTATTGTGTCCTGGATCCGCCGCTGGGTGAGCACCTCCTCTCCCCGCGCCTTCATCGCCTCCGCTTCTTTCCCGTCGAAGGGTTCGTGCGAGCGCCTCCGCCCCAGCGAGCGCCTCCGCTTCTTCCGATTTAAACCAACCCAAAGGTCGGGACTCGACAGATCTCAAATGAAGGAAGGAAGGAGAGAACGAGCAGAGGACATATAACCTTTTATTTCGTCAGTTTTTTATAATGATTTTTATTTTTTAATGATTAAACGCCAATGTTTTGCAGAGAATGGCTATTTTTCGAGTATGCGGCTAACCGAGTCTTAAATAGAAAACCGACCAGTCGGTTAACCATGAGCCTCTTTTCGTTCGGTTGTCGGATGGTTTGAGAGATGGTTCGGCCAACCGATAGCTAGAATTTCGATTTTCGATTAAACCGAAATCGACCGACCTCCAACCCTACGCTGGAGTGCTAGCTAGAATGCGAATGTCGCCATGGTATTTAGGGTACAGGAATCCAAGAAGCTAGTGATGGGCCGAACGGTCACGATCCATATGTGCATCGTACCAGGGGCGGAGCTATGTAGGCTCTCAGGAGGGGGGGGGGGCCGAGAATTTTGAAACTTACGTATAAAGTCTTAGGAAATTTCGAGAATTACGTATAAACTCAATCTAACAGATATATAGAATCCGAGTGAAATATTCTTAACAACATAGATTTTCAGTCTAGTGGAGAAGCTACGCAGTTGTAGCTACAAGGTTCAGGGTTTGACCCTTATTCTCAGCATTGCTTTTATAATTTTAACTGTTTTTTTTCAGTTTAATCCTCTAATTTTTCTATTTTGTCTTATAAATCCTGTAATTTCAAATAAATTTAGTCAAGTTCTTAAACTTTTACATTCATATTTTCAAAGATTATTTTTGGATATGTAATTAATTAATTTTTAAAAACAATAATATAATCATAAATTCATATTCAAGATATAAAACAATTACATGTTAAAATGCATGATAATTTTTGCTCACAGTATAAAAACTTATTTTGAGTATAACATACTAGCGAACTTTAAATTTTTTATATTTTGAGTTTTTTTATTTTAATTAATATGTGTCGTTATTATTTATTTTTATCTGTGGATTTTCACGATAATTTACTAAATAAATCCGGCCCCCAAACTTTAAATCCTGACTCCGCTCCTGCATCGTACCGTTTATTTGGCGTACGTGCTTTCAAATACATGGCAAGTTTATCGGAATCGCATGTTTTATGTGGTTCATATGTTTCTATAAAAGGCACATGTACGAATGAATGAGACCATACGGCAAGGAAAAAAGTAAGATTTATTTTGCTTTGTAGGATGAATTATAATGAGAAATATATGTAATTATTGTAGCAAATCAAATTCCACGTATCGTATAAAAATGGTCATTTTCAATTTTCTTCTGACAAATATATGAGGTGTTGATCATTGGCGTAGACAAAAAAAAAATTGTAACTGGAAGGGTAAAAGTTTATCAACAACTCGATTCAAGATTGGGTGCCGAATTCTTGGTTATTCATTCTTGTTATTGTTAGAATAAAAAACAAACTTATCTGAACACCCAAACTAATTCCTAAACACATTAATCTTCCGAGTCCAAGTCTTTTATGATATTATTGTTAACTAATCAACTTACTTAGTTATATGACCTTGTAAAATCTTACATTGACAAATATATTTGATAAAAGATCGATGATTACTCTAAATCTGAAAAATGATAATGGAGAATCAAGCAAAAACCAACGTATTGATACTCAATCTTCTTTACTTTCGTTCAATCAATTGTGCCCTTGTAAGTCCCCCTCTAAACCAGAAGAAAGAGATAGATAATGTGAATAATTTGATAGATGATCCGTTGTTATTTTCAACTGAATCCTACTAATAAGCAAGATGAATTTGAGAGTATATCTTCAAAAGGGTCATTATCAATCAACTCATCCTACTTCTCTCATTACTCAGATGAGTGGATTTAATCCATCCTGATATGCTGGAATACGTCAAGAGCAATCTTCAAAATCGGATGGGGGAGCAGTTTATTAATGATTTTTTCGTTTATTGAAAAATGTACGAGTCGCAACATAAGTGACAAGTGTATTTAGACAAAAAAATTAAATATGAAAAATATGTTGTGGTTCTTTGTGAAAAACGATGAACCGATGTACTATATGGATTATTTGTTTCAGAATAAATTGATTTAAGATTTATTAATTATTTATATTGTTGAATACCTTGATAAAATTTCTGGGTCCACCACTACTACGTAGTATGATCTTATGTAATACTAAGCATTACCATCATCGTAAATTTATATATTTTGAAGAGCACAATTACATTGATTTATTACAAAAAAATATTATGACTTAAAAAAATAGCCCATTACAATTTATAATAAAAAACGTTAGAGACCTTTCATAAATTGTAATGTGGCAGGTTCTGCACTGGAATCATTCCCCAACAAGGCTTGTGATTTTCGTCCATAAGGATTTCATGTGTGTAGAACAAGGATGGATCCCCTAGATGCCAATGATCTTCCAAACTATAGCCTTCTTATGCCTCTTAAGTAGTCCTATCGGCCTCGACTTTTGCCCTGGCATCAACGATGAGTTGATGTTGACAAGTAGCTTCTTTCCTTAAGCTAGGAATTAATATTATAAATTCTCCGGTAGCACCTTCATCTCTAGCTCTGGGAGCTCCTCGTAGGATGTTTTGATTGCTGGTAGATCTGGTATATCATCATTAGCTGGTTATGATGTAGGAATCGAGTGATAATCATAGGAATCCCTAGGATCGTATTTCACAAGGTCTTTTGATGATAACTAGTCTAAACTAGATGCGCAAGTGATAAAAAATGAATAACATAAAGTAAAAGCGATGGGTTGAAGTTCTCTAAGAAATTCGAGTAAAGGACAAAAGCAAGTAAAGAGTAAACGAAACAGGAACGAAGATTAATGCAAGTAAGAAACAATTGTTTAGGAAGTATCATCTAGATGAGAATGCATATTTTCTCCATGATAAGATAACTATATGCATCAATGAGATCCTATCTCTTCCACTAATAAGGTCATTCCCTACATGTGCATGCACTTCTTGCGATAGAGATTTAACTATCTAATGCATGTTTTCACTTCATGCGACCAACTAACTAATGAAGAGCAAGAAAGTAAGGATATCACATTATTAAGTTCTGGCCTTTTTGAGCCATAAGGATTGTATATGGTATTGGGGGTCATCAAACATCAAGCATCGTCATCATTCTATCCATAGAGGGTTGTACTTCTCCTATACATGCCTAATGATGATGCCTACTACACAAGAATAGTTTCCTATTACTCATTATAATAGTATCAAAATTGGGAAATGGACATGCCGCGACTTCTGTAACATAATGACGGGCTGTTACTTGGATTTCCATGATTAGAACTTCCACGCAACGTGTCTCTCACAAATCAAACAAAGGAACTCAAGAATTGCTTAAGAACGAAGAGAAATAGACTTGAACGAAGAGAAATAGAGGTTGGGAAGGCTACAACTACTAAGCTATTTGGGTTCCAATCTTCTCATATCATTAAACGAAAGACAATACATATTTATAGGCATAGGAAGCATCTACCTTCTCCTATCTAGAACATGAATACTATTCCCACAAGGTAATGATAACCAAATCCTAAACATACTAGAAAACAATCACAATCCTACTAAGACAATTAAACAATAATAATATATCCCAAACAGTGTGGGAGAACGAGAGGAAGGTTGGACGCTCAAATCTCACCCTTATTAAAATCAGCCCCCCAAACAGTTTTTCCATAACGTATTTGCTTGTGGAATAGTTTGGCCGGCAGCTTTAAGGAGAGTGCTTCGACAGGACGTGGTGCAACATTCAGGTTTGCAACTCCCGTCCCCTCTTATTTCTTTCGGTCACTATCCTCCTCTACCGACGTTGATTATGCCGTCAAATAATGAATTAAATTCGGCTCCTAGCCCACCCAGAAGCCATGAAGGCGGGACATGGGATGTGATAGCCGATAGCTCCCACTCAGCTAATACTCATGATGATCTTGCTGCTTCAAAGGTGACTA